GATCTTGAGATCCTGATAGGCCAGGTATGTCTCCACTACTCCACCAATTCCTCCAAAGATGCTCTCTACCACGAACGCCGGAACTACCGCTCGCAGGCTCCTAACACTGTACGGGAAAAACCCGTCCCGTGCTACCACCAGCTCCCCCGAGATATCAAGAGGAGGGCGCCCGTGAAATAAGGTCAACGGGTCGCTCGAGTCCTCTGCTCGGAAGGCAGCTACCTCGTCCTCTAGGTAGCGTAACACGCTACTAACCGTGCCACTAGTCCCTGTCGTCACGAGGCCCACTACAGCCTCCCTGATCGCATCCGGTCCTAAATACAAGTAGGCTCTCACTACGCCTACTCCTTGCGCCGGCCGGTGCTCCCTGTATGTCCAAAGCCACGCGTCCTCCGACAAGATTATGGACCTCCACGCAAACTGACCGTCAAAGTGTCGACTCCCGCGTCCAGGGATTGTGAGCTCGACTAGATCTCCTTCTATGAGTTCAGGGGGCTCCAAGTCCCAATCAATCGTGGCCCCATAGACCTCTTCTTGCACCTGCGGCCTCATCCAACTGATGGCCTCACTTACTCCACTCCTTCGGGGACAAGTTACGTTGTCTTCCCTACGACAATGCCCCTTTTGCTCCTTCTTTAGGCAATTCTTTGTATTTTTCAATTAAAAATTAAAGAAAAATGTATCTAGCTAAGATAAAATCCCTCTCTTATTTTTCATACATCGTGGATAAACACATTTATAAGCCCACCGAGTTTGATGCTTTCTAAGGGTAGATATAAATTTTTTGTGATTTTATAGAAAACATTTCGGCAGCGTTTCGCCTCCCCACGTTGGGATCGGGTTCGGGACTATTGTCCCTAGGCAAACACTCCCTTCCTAGAACCAAAATCAAAGGGAGGAAACCCGCTGAAAAATTAAATTTCTCGTGTATTTTTAATTAATTTTCCTAATCGCTTTTAATGTATATATATATATAAAAAGAAATTAATAATTTTGTTTAGGAATTCTTGTGAAGTCCCGGCAATGCTTTGGCTCCCCCCCTGTTGGGGTATGATCTGGCCGAAGACCTCAAAAAGTAGTCGCCGCAGGAGTTCAGCAAAAGGGATAAAATAACAAAAGGGAAATATAATTATTAGAGTATTTTCTTTAATTATTTAAGATTTAATTGGATAAAATTTAACAATTTTTTGAAAAATTTCGGCAGCACTTCGTCTCCCCCCGTGGGGATGGGGTGTGG